AGAACTGGATGAACAAGTTAGAAAAACAGCTCAAACACAAAAAGAATTTCAGCAAAAACTAGCTTGCGGTTATCAAGCGATGGCGAAAAACAAAAAACTCAAAGAGGAGTTAGCAGTTTGAGAAGAAACCCTCGAAGATGACCAAAATAAATAAGAAAACTCCTCAACAGGGAGAAATTTGACTAGTAAAGTTTGAAAAACTAAAAGAATCGCGCAAGCCTTTCCGTCCTTGCTTAATAATCAGCGATAATAACCAAAACGAAAATGATGAAGAAGTAATTGTTTCTCCGCTAACCACGGAAGAAGTTATTGCCGGCGAGGTTCAATTTTTTGAAATTCCCGTTATGGCTAATAAAGAAACTGGTTTAGATGAGTCTAGTCGGGTATTACTTAATCGGATTCACACGGTGGATAAAGAACTACGCTTGATTGAAAGGTTAGGGAGAGTGGATGAGAAAGTTTGAGGTCAAGTTTGGGAGGCTTTATGAGTAGTTTTTACGGGCAAGAAATTAAATGATAAACAGGTTTTGGAAGTGAATTAAGCGTTTCTGACAAAAACTCACAGGCGTCAAAGAAAAAACAATTAAAAATAAACTAAAACTAATAATATAATCATGTCTCGTCTCGTCATGCCTTTCACCAAAATAGTAATTACTGGAAACAAAGGAGGAACTGGAAAAACCACCATTGCTGCCTTATTAGTCGAATATCTAAATCACCTCAACAAAAAAGTCCAGTTAATCGACACTGACCCCAACCAAGCCCTCCAAGCCTGAATTAATAACTGCTCCCAAGAAAAACGTCCCGTCTCGTCCCCCAGTAGATTATCAGCTAATCGACACGGCCGGAGTAAGTGGCGGTTATTTGACCTATATCAAGCAAGCCGACATTATTTTAGTTCCTTTTGTTCCCCATTATGTTGATTTACAAGTCATTATTCCTTGATTTCAGTCTTTATCCCCAGAAAGGCAGCAAAAAGTTTACTTTCTCCCCAACCGCTACCAAAAAACCAAAGAGCAAAAAGAAGGCTTAAACCAATTA